AGACTAAAATGTAATAAAAAAAACAAACAAATTGCATACGGTTTTTCGTTGTATGTACTATTATTGACGTCATAAAATGTTCAAAATTTTGCAGTGAAACCACTCGCTAAGCCGCGAGCAATTCTTGAAATATATGACGTGAAATAAATTGATTGAACTACTGATTGAAATACGTGAAATTCTAAAGACTTCTATTGTTGTCATGCCAGGAGATTTGGTTTTCAATTTTATCCTTGGCAAAAATACTACATTAAATGGTCTTGTAATCGGTGAGATAATATAAAAGAAAAGCGTGCATGAAATTTACTTTTCAACTCTTTTGTAGCTTTTGTAGCGTGCTGATAGACCGCTGTCGTCSCAAAGATCAACATAGGAAGAGGGTGGTCTTTGCAAAACACCTGCTTTGATTGGCCAGTAAAAATACACTACACCTTTTTTAAAAAGCAATGTGTAATATAGATCGTATGTTCTGCGAATATTCCAATGTTCTTTGCCTTTAGTGAAGGAAGAAACTAGTATGTCTGGCACAGGTCCCATGCAGGTRCCCATATCAGATATCAATTTTCGCCGAAACAAGAGRGATTTGTGAGAAACTTTGGGAAATGCTGACCATTAATTGAGTTCTTGTCGAAATTTATGAACGATTTCCCTGTGGCAAGTGAACAAAATTTTCTCTAGAGCAGAGAATTTTAGTGATTGATACCAGGGAATTGACGTGAATTGATATGATATATAAATGGAACATACTTTAATAAATGGGCGGGGTAAAAAGTATCATTTCTTTTACTGTAATTATAGTCTCCTTCACGGTTCTCTGTGCCATGTTGAAAGGTAGCCGTGCCTGTACATCGAAGCGAGACGGCTGTTTAGCGTGCAATGATAGATACCTATGAATAATAGTCTGTAGGTATAAAAGACGGTTTCTATCATTGCACGCTCAACGGTTGTCTCGCTTCTATGCAAAGGCACGRCTACCTTTCAAGATGGCGCAGGTAACTGTGAAGAAGACTGYTGTGGTGTTGACTGTGAACTATGAACTCTCAATGAACTACCCTTCCTAAGATGCTAGCTTTGTGTCTTYTATTAAGATAGGGGATGTTTGATCACATGAATTCTATTGATCTAATTAATGCACAGAT